TAAGAATTTTTTTTATTTCAGTTAAAATTATAAACAAAATGACTAAATGACCCAAATTTTTTCAAATGATAAAATGAGCTAGGTCATTGAGTCATGAGTCATTTGCAAATGACTTGATTTCTAAATGACACGGAATGACCGGTCATTTTGGCATGACTTCAGGTCATTTGAAAATTAGTCAAATGACCTGGTCATTTGCCATCACTGGATTGAAATGCAGTTTCTTTCCTAATATGATTTTGTGCACAGTTTTCTATTATTCTAAGATAATGGCTCGTTGAATCTTATTTACAACAGGGGTTCAATAGCACATTGTGGCACAAATTTTTGATGATTATCTCGAATCGGTTGATGAAGTGATTCTCCAGCGGTACTATTTAGAAATGTGTTTTTTTATGTTCTTAATTGATCATTTTCTTCATTTGCTTAAGAGGTTAGTGATCAAAAATGCCTTGACCTAAGAACACGAAAAAGAAAAAAATATGATAGAATTCTTTCCTTCAGTCGATAGTTTGAATTAATTTACATAGAGACAGCAATCACGTCTATACCCTCAAAAACGGGGAATGATTTGTCAGACCATCATTCTCTATGCGACAAATAGTTTTTTCAATAATGGAATTCGATATACTGGAAGAAGTAACAGCATTGCCTAAACTGACGAAAATAGCGGCAAAGATCATTGTGGGTAATTATTTTCCTATTATATCTGTTTAAGTATTAATTTACTCATTAATCTTTATTCTTTGTAGTCATTTATTCACAATCTAAATAAAAAATATCAAGCGTTACTAAAGAAAGCGGCTGATTATTGTTTAGATGAAGATAATAACTGGGATTCACCACTAAAGTTGAAAGGTTGTCATTAAATAGTGATTTTTTTAACATTCGATTTGATTTTCGTCTTAAAAGTGCTATTACTGCATTAATAGAATAAAAGCGATATGATAAGGAAAAATAAAATTTTGTGCTGATTATAGTCTTTGCCTCATGTATGCTAAATATATTATGTGATTGCTTATGATATAACTGCCAAAATTTTTTAAGTCAGATTCTACTATGCTACTGTATCAAGTATATATACTAATAAATTCAAAATTAGTAATTCAAATTCAAAAATTTTATTCAATTTACAAAATATTAATTTGTTTTTAATGCAATAATTCTGATAAAATTTGTCTAGTAACCAGTAAACTAAATCATTAATATAATAAAGTGATATTAGCAACAATTACTTACAAAACGGCCTTTTGCATTTTTAAAAAAAAGAAAGAAAAATTATAAAAAGGTAATTTTTTTAGTATTTAATATTAAGGGATAAAGGGGTTAAAGACAATTTTTTTTTCCGTATTACTAAATTGAAAAAAAATTTTTTGCGCGGGTCGCTAGTTGGAAATTTATATTTAAAAATAAATTTGATAATTTTTTCCAGATTAGCCCTTCCATTAATTTAATGAAAACTTTTTTGGTGTAAATTGCTCCTCATTTTTAAGGCGTCAGTGACCATCTTTTATTATCTCATCTGTATTCTTCCTTGTCCTTGCTTTCCAAGATAAAATAACTTTTATAGCTGCTATAAGTTTCGAGAAAGCTTCCACAGTCTTCAGTATCTCGATATCTTGTAAGTCCATTGTAATAATTGTGTCTTCGAAAAGATATTTTGATGCCGATATAGTAAGTTGAAATCTGTTAAATTGTAAACAATATGTTATGTTTCGATATCTATAATTTTAGCTTTTGCAGTAGTAGGAAGTGAAACATACAAAGCTGTTAAAATAACTTTTGTACAATATTCCAATTTTCTCAGATCACCTTTCCTTTTTCCGCGTGTATTTAGAATCCCATCTTCTTGCGCTAAGACTTCTGTGCCTAATGATCTAAGGAAAGCTTTTCCATCAAGCTTTGGACCACTCTTTCTAGCAATGTTTAGAATTTCTTTGAGCTTGTTATAGGATATTGATGCCAATTCTCCATAATTAAACTTAATATCTGTTTTTCTGAGAAAGGCATTTCTCAGTAAAGGTGTCCATATGTGTGAATTATATTCACGTTCAGACATAGCTTGAAGCAAGATATCATTTTTATACAAGAAGTAGAAGGTTTTGAGAAGGTTCTGAACATAAATTAAGTCATTCGATGCAGTAGAGTAATTGATTAAATTTTCGCCCAGACATCTGCCTAAAGATTCCAAGTCTTTTATATGTTCAAACTTATCTAAAAACTGCATGACGTCTTCTTCACAATTGACTAGAAACTTATCAATTGTTCTTCCCCTTGTAAAATTCACTGCTCTTATCTCCTTGTCTTGAAGTTGATTTGCAATAAACATTTTATAATCAGGAGGCAAATATTTTGTACAATCTGTATTATAAAAATTTATCATCCTAATTGATATGGGGCTTTTTCCTGTTTCATCTCCTTTGTAGTCTAGCACGTCCATATAATTATAAATAAGCTTGTCATCTGGTAAAACACGGATTTGATATGCTTTTAAAGCATCACTTGCAATATCTCGAGTGATGTATTATTATTTTATGTTCCTTGGCTTTTTAACTTTAACTTCCTTTGCAGACGTGCTCGATTTGGTCGTTTTGTCCAATTCATCAGGGTCGGAATATGAACGCTCATTGAGAAAAACATTTATGAGCGAAACAGGTACTATTTCAGAATCGGAAGATGAACACCCATCTTCATCTGATAAATAAGCCCTTTTTTTCTTTGGTAAAGATGTTTCCACAGACGTGTCAATTGATTTTTTATTCTTCAAATGTAATAATCATCATTAAAAAAATGCTCACATAAAATTCGTGGTAACATTATATATCAAAAGATTTAAATTATATTCTAACCTTATTTGAGAATAATGAGTTTTCCGCTTTCGTGAAATGTTTCCGTTGTCATTATTAGGTTTCCTTTTGCGCAATACCTCGGTAATTTCATGCTGAACCATCAACGATTGCTTTCCAGCTTCCCGTGCTGTATTATGCAACAGCTCGGCCTAGTAAAATTAGATTAAATTAAAAAAAGCGTAAGGAAAAAAAAGAGCATAATGCTATACTTAGCAAAATGGTGTGCATGCTAAAATGCCGCGCGTTCAATCAACACATCTTGCATCTTTTGAAGAATCATTTTTTTGTTCTCAATGGCAGTTAGCTTCGACTTGAGAAAAGAAAAGAGAAAAAATAACGAAATTTAATGAAAGACGGATTATTGATGAACATCAATGAGAATACGGCATCTAACCTTATGCTTCTCTTGGATAATGGCATCCCAAAAGCGACATACAGGTTTTCCATTGGCTTCATCCTGTCATAATGAAATGTGCAAAAATTAATAACCTAGAACAGTCATCAAGTTATCAATCAGTGACCAAAATATATTAAACCAAGGATAAAAAGTGGCCAACATCGAACATAATAGTCCAACAACATCTTAACCTAGAACAGTTCCTTGCTCAGATTGTCAAGTGTTGTGATGTTGGTATAACACGATGGTCAACTTGAGGATGTCTGCATGCCTGACATGCCCAAGCCCACATTTTTACCCTATAAAAATAACGAGCTTTTATCACTTAACTGTAAAAGTTTTCAGAGCAGAAATTGCTTTAGATTGGTTTTCGTCCAAATAATTGGCTGTAATATTGCCTAAAGTACTGGTATACGTATTATGTTCTCTCGTTTTATCGGCAGTCCAATTTTCTTCTTTCAGACGAAAAGTTAGAAAGTTAAAAAGAATCCAATCTGAACACTCACTAAAAAAGTTCGTTTTCATTTTTCAAACGCGTATAAAAAAAATAATAATAATGAGGGTGTATACGAATATATAGATTTACGAAAATCTGGCCACGTGGAATATCCGTCCGTGCGTGACGTATCAGTAGTGTGACATATCGCAGCGCATTTCTCCAATTTTGAATAGCAAACGGTGTTAAATATAGCGCCGATCATTTTGCCATGATTTTCATACGCCTTTTTTTTACTTCGTTGATAAGCAAGCTGTGTAACATTATTATACTTTTTTAAGATTTTTTTTATACGATTGTTCGTTGAGTTCGCGACTATTAATTTATCAACAAAATAAATCGAACACTCTCATTATCTTTTACTTGAAATACAGGCAATTTTGCTTTTAAACTTATAAAATCTTTTACACAATTTTTTTTATATTAAAAATAAATATTAAACGATTTTTTTTTTAAAAAAAATAAAGTATTATTGAACTTATTGTACAAATAATGTTCTTGAATATTGTTCAACTTAGTATTAATGTTACAAACTTATCACTATTATAAGTCTTTTAAATCTTTAAAAAATAATAATATTTGATAAAGCTTACAGTTAAAAGCTTAGAAACTTTTTAAAAACTCTTGAAAGGTATGTCTATAGAATAATTTATTTGATAAAACAAAAGTTGGTAAAAATAAAATGATTATATGGGTGGTGTACTATTAAAAATGAGGTACGGATCATATGATTTACTATGCCTCGTACCTCAATTTTAATATAAATCTCAGATAGTAACGATATTTAAAATGTATACTTCTTTGATAAGTACATGATAAATTTCGTAAATTCATTTAGAAATTCGTATAAATTCATTTTAAAAACAATAAATTTCGTACAACAATTATGTTAATTAATGTTCGGAAAATCGAACCCGTTCCGAATATTTTTCAGGATAAAAAAATAATCAATTTAAAATAAGTATCAGACAAATATTTTTCATAGGGGAAAGAATCACGTCGATTTCATCAAATAGCCGTTTTTCACTTGGGGATAGTTACACAAGTAATATATGAAAACCTATTGAACTTGACGTCTGCAAATAAAAAAAAGTCTGTCAACATACACACTTATACGTTTTTTTCTTTTTAATAAAATTCTTGCCCATAATTTCGTACCGTCTCGTTTCCACCAATAAAGACTTCAATCAAATCACATCATTCTGTCAAATTCAACTTGATTTTTAATATTCGAATACTTCAAAAGAAAAAGACATTATATATCGCCTATCCTCTTGAATATTTTTTCCATTTTTTCCTTTCTTTATTTCCAACAGAATTTCTTCGCGACGTAATTTAATATACTATTGTTTAACGACTTTATTTCGTTCAAATAATAATTATTGTAGTAAATAAGAAATGTATAACGTAACCAAGGCGGATATTTAATGAATGTTATCGCCTTAAAAAATGATTTGACCTGTCTAATAAGTCCTTCATATTGACTTGAACTAGTATTTTTCGTCCTTTTTGATTGTATCATCACTTTTTGGAAGATTGTTATAAAATGATTTTAACGAATAAGGCTGCCCAATGACGAAGTAATAACCGAATCCAAGGAAAAACCTATTAATTTAACTAGTCAAGTTTACAAGAAAGATTTGAATGTCAATTTTATGTTATTTAATTTTTTTTGCAAAAAATTAGTTGAATTAATTTATAACTTTTTAGAAAAATCAGAAATTTATCAGAATTCGGATGATTAAAAATTCCGGATGACGTTTATTTCCATGGGGTAGAAGAATACACCTATCGTGTGCTCTACTTCTTTTACGCTTAAAAATTTTTTTATTTGTGATAGTTTATCAGAAGTTATATTCCAATGATATGATATTCTTATCCATATTTTGTTAATATAGTTTCAATAACTATGATCATAGAAATTATTTGAATAAAAGGTTTTTTTTAGTAAGAGAATATGAATGAATAAAAAAAATTATTTTGCAATTTCGATCATTCCAGATATAGCGTTACATTTTTTTTTACTTTTAATTAAATTTATTCATAAATACTATTTTAACGTTCGTAAATTTGATTCAAAAGTACAAAAGGGTTAATTTTTTTTTTACGAAATTATTTAATCGACGCAACGATCGAACCCAAAAAAGAAATAATTCATATTTATTAATATCCGATTTTTTACAAACTTTATTTAAATTCAATGAGCACCAAAATAAGTGTGTTAATGAGAATTATAAAAGTTTATTATCAGGATTAATGAGATACGCAGCACCATTCGGTGCATCACCAACTAAGGCATTTGCGCAGCCTAGAACTGTCTGAGGTGGTTCTACAACAACAACTAAAATGATGTATGAATTAGATAAGCTTTGTGGTACCTGAATATCCGCGTTTAGAGAATGGGGATTTAGCTTTAATTGGACATCCAGAATCTTTACAAACCGGACCAAAATAGTTAGTTTCTTTAGCTTTAGGATCGACAAAAAGAGCAAGAAGTTAGGATGTTTCTGTGATATTTGAATCTAAAGTTCCGGAAACAGTAAAAGTATCGGGTTTACCGGGGACAACAGGATCAGGATTAAGTGTTACGGAGAGCAAGTATGGTGATGTAGTGGACCCTTTCAATGGAGGGCATTGTATAAAGGAAGTAGTTCTCTTTTGAAGTTGACGTGGAAATGCATTTGCCAAGGAAAGCGTAGCCAATAAAATGAATACAAAAATAAATTAAATTCATGATTATCGTTATTATTTCTTTGCAAAGGTATATATATAATTGTAAGTTTTATTTGTGAATGTAATTAATTTCTTGAATTTGGAGTATATTGAAATCAGTGTCTTTTATAAAGAAAAAATATTGTCCTATTCCGAATCAATAATTCTTTTTTAATCCTTTTAAATTTCCTAATTTTTATTCGGAACACATTTTGAAATTTAATATGAACCATGTTCGGTTCATATGGCTTGAATTAGCGGATATCCCAAATGCGAAGATCGTTTCGGATATGCGCTTCAAATGCGAATTTATCACAAATGATCATTTGGGATATCCGCAATGAGCATGTCCGAAATTTTCGAATTTGGGATATCTGAAATGCTCATTTCGGACATTAACGCATTTTGGGTACAACAGAGAAGTAAACCAAAAAATACCTTAATAAAAATTAAAATCAAGTGATCGACCTGGTCAAATTTGAAGATCGTACCGGGATCTGTTATCCCTTAGGGTTTCGCAGGCAAATTTGCCTGCTTATTTACTATAAATTCTCTTATGATTTACTTTTATAAATAATTAATATT